GTTCTAGACCATAGGCATCTAGATAGGAGGGGCAAGACACAAGCACTCGTTAGACTCACCTCTAATTACACGACAGGTTACCGCTTAGACCACCGCTATTCTGACCGACAGTGGGTGGCTCCAGGTGACCTGACCCCCGACATGAAGCCGTAGGCGGTCGAAGCCCGCACAGGTCAAGGAACGGTGCGAGTTCATTAGTTATTGACAGGCATTCGTCTTTCCTGTTCATTTGAATATATACATATTAATAACGCACTGCTATTAGTACTTGAAGGCAGACCGCAGGTCCGTGTGGATATAGTGATGGATCTGCGAAATAGCTTGATAGTGGAGGAAAAGAAATTCCGGTATATAAGGGAGCGAAATTAGAGAGAAGAATCGTAGAAGAGTAATAAATACGAAAGAGAAGACACAACCATACAGAGGGCCTATCACATAAATACCGAGGAGAAAAACCTCATACTGGGTGGATTCCGTGTGCATCTTAGTGTGCGCTTCTTCCTTATTATTCCGTGCATCAAAGGCGCTAAATCATGTGTGCTTGTGACCAGCTCCACCATCCTCAGACTTTGCTTTACTCCAGTGACCTGATGAGCTCTGCACATTATTCATGAAAGATGTTCCTGTATTTTGGCTATTAGCTCCATTCACTCGTATTGCTGGGCTCAGGAGTGAGGGTCAGTCAAGATCGTTTCTAGACGAGGGTATCCAACGGCCTTGCCATTATCATAACACATAACCAACTAATGAGTAAGCTCAAATACCCAACATTACTGATGTCTTGTAGAGCATAGAATAATCCGGAAAGCTATCAAGAGCTCCTCACCTTTCTTAGGCCCTTCATCTCTGATGCATAGTTTTATTCGATTTTGTTTGACGTTGAAAATTTCAGTACATGGGCGATAGTATAGCACTATACTACGCTCCCCTATTTTTTGAAGGGATAGCATTCAATGGTTTGTTCTTGTTATCCTTTCTTATGAGCGTCAACCGTTTCCTACTGTTCGTTGTTCCGCGAATCCACAACAAACTATTCACTTATAGGGGAACGAGGATGTGAGTATTTCATGTGTGTGCTCAATGATGGAATCGAATAAAATGTTTTGACAACGATTGCTCCTGCTTGATATGACTAGTACTGCCTTTGATAATGTTTAGAATGTCAATCATTCTCTGGATTATTGTATTTCTATTTATTGGGCTGTCGAACTACTTCGGATGTCGGAAGCAGTTTGCCAAAGATGGTTTGTTGAACATTACATGAATGTTGCATTAAGAGCCAAACCGTTCCCTTGATTCGATTTTGTACTCCACAGCGGGAACATTACATGAATGTTCGAGAAACAAAACGATCTCATGAGTAGGTGCTATTTATTTTCCAGTTGGCTTGCTTCATGTGGACTAAACTATTCACAGTTCAACCCACCTCTTTGTTGCTCTGCATCACGGATCATGCTGGGTGGCCAGAAATTACGGCAATAAGATGAAGGGTTCATAGAAAATCTGTACAACTAGAAAAAGGACACGTGGAAAACAAAAAAATGTTCACTGAAGGGTAATGAATGAAAAACCATATGGTCTTTCCGAGTAGCCCCTATCCGCTTTGAAAAAGGAGTGAAGTCTTCCAGGGAATGTACTGACCGCGAAGTGTTGAGAGACGGCTTCGACTGCGTTCCAGGCATTATGAAGCGATGCCTCCAATATATTAAGAGTTTTTGAACAAGGCAACGAAATTATTGGTGCGTAGTGGCCAGCACAGCAGAGAAAAAAAGGGAACCCTGTGTCTTCCATCTTACATACGAGAGCGATCATCCACCTGAAGTCTTGAGTTTGCCTCTAATCTACTGAAATGTCCTCGTTCTGAGCTCATTCCTTTGCTCCAATTTGAAATGTTGAAAGTAATTTCAGATTTTCACTTTTGGTACAATTGCAGCAACCGTATTCCTGGAGTTTTTCATTATATTGATGTGAGTGTTTTGCTAAGGTTTTTTTTAAACAGATTTGATCAAACTACCAGAGCTTTCTAACGTTCAGCTATCTGAAACACTCAAAATTTATCATAATTTTACTCAATAACTTAGCAATTGACAATAAAGTTTCTACTTTTTTCCAAACTTCCTGGTACGCTTTCATTTTCTCAAAAGCAAACCCCAGGATTAGCTCGACTAGTAGAAAGAATAGAGCGAACGAAATTGAACGGTCTGTACCTACCTAGATCACTCCAGTCTTGTGGAAAAAATTGAGCGGATGGGGCGCTGCCGCTTGCGGACCTGCAACCATCGACTCCCTTGCAGCGCTTTCCAGCCACCGTAAGAGATGGTTGGATCAGCGCGCTTCGATGTAGAGATTAGCGTGCTCTCTCAAACAAAGCGCTTCATGTGCAGTTTTTTTTGTCCACCGTCATTACTTGGATTCAGAGTTATTGTCTAGGCCTGCTATATGTGTATCATCAACACATCAACCTTTAACACATAGTTCATTTAGTTTATGCATATCGCATCAATCACCCTTCCTGTGACCATGATACTAATGTACGTTATCATCTACTTGAAGATTGGATATGTCTTTCAAGAAGGAGTAAGGAGGGAGGTAACTCGTGTCAGCCGAGAGATTAGATACTTTGTGCAGGTGAATCCATTTCAAATTATTGTTAAAGTTTTCGAACATACAATTCTACGATCGCAATAATGCCCATCTCTTTATTGGTTTCCCCATGAGTTTCGCACTACCAAACTTTTTTTGCTCAAGTTAGCTTTATTTTATAAGACGAGCAATACCAATTAACATCTTTAGCAATGAATTCTTGCCAACGCACGGGCAAAGAGTGGATGCTTCGAACTCAGAAGTTTTCGAGGTTCCGTCCTGAATGAGGGACGAGGTCGATTTTGAAGTCTTTCTGGGAATGGTTTTTTGCCGTTGAGGAGGCTGTTGAGGGAAAAAGTCAGATGAGGCTAATTCAGGGCCGCGCGGTGCGTGCGATAGAGTTTCCACCAAGCGGCGGGATTTCGAGTCGTGTAGTCATTGAAACGTCGTGGCGTAATAGTCTTGAGTTGTCGTGGAGCAAGCGAACTTTGTTTGGACAATTGACGGGGTTCTCTCTAAAGTCTTCGCATTTGGTAGCAGTTGTCCTAACTGGTAACCGTGGTGTTAGGAGGGGGGAGGGAGTTTCCATCAACTTCGCACAGCCCCACCACAAGCAGAGCATAGTTTTATTGCTCCTCCTCTCATCGCACGAGCGGTGTTGTATGGACCCAGGCAGTGGCACTTCCGCGTATGATTCGATTTTTGATTCACTCCTCAAGACCCGTAACAACTCAGCCAGTCAGTACGACGGGAGCGGGAATATTTGCAGACTGTACTCAACACGCGTGCTCTTCTGAGAATGGGACAATACATGAGGAATCCATCGACCGATCTTCAGTACTGTTCCGACGGTGTGGCAACCTTTGTCAACCATGTTTCTGGGAAAGCCTAGGTGAGAGTAGTGCGCAAATCGGCTTCTATCAGAGTCAGTCAGTCCATGTCTAACGGGGCCCTCCTAGACGAGGTTTGTCTCCCAGGCCAAAGCTGCCTGAGCAAAAGCGATTCAACCATTTTGATACCGCTCGGCGGGAAACAGCTTCTGAACCAAATGCAGTTTTTGCGATTAGCTTCAGTCAATGTGGCCCAATCGGAACATAGCAAAGCATAACGAGACGAACCTTTCATCCACTATATTGATGCGAAAAAGAAGAAATTAAAACAAAACACTAAAACAGAGGATTCTGTGGTCGACGAAGCATAAGGGCTATACTAAGAAGTGTGCTCGGCATAAGCCAAATAAGTGCTTTTCGAAATTGTTGATTATACTTCTACCTTGAGATTCTTATAGGGGAAGTTTTATTCTGGCCAACGTTTCGACCATTTCATCGTTTTCAAGGCCTTGTTCCAAGTGTAGCGATCAGTTAGTAAGCATTAGTAGAGAAATACGCAACGATGACGATAACAACGAAAATGCCGAGGTTCCAAGATGAGAGACTTGGAACTCATTGCAAAAAACGCCGCCGCTTTTCGATATCACAAATAAACTTCATCAATCACAGAACGGTTTGAAAAGTGGCACGAAGTCTTGGGAGACCCTAATATAAATACAATCACCCGCGCTGCGCTTGCACATCCACTTCTCAAAATTTTGACCTCACAAATGAAAGTGACCACAGACGGCAGCAGTGGAGAGCATGTAGAGAAGGGAGGGTCCCTGGCTGCAGAGAGGTGATTATTGGTTGGAAACATTTTGTATTCCATCATGTATTAGCGATCTTCGAAAAGTCATTGAACTATACAAAGGAAGTGAAATGAAAGATCTATGCTGTAACCATTTCAGACAGTATTGATAAGCATTCTAATAATGGTCGAAATGATAGCCTTCATTATGGCACCCTATATCAGGGTCACCGGCTACGGTCTATTCTATTTGAATATTCTAGTGAATCTTATAATTATTTCGAATAATCTCGTTTCTCCTATCATTATTTTTGCCTTCAACACGGATATTCGAAGGCGGCTGTTCTCGACCATGTCATATCGTCAGAATACTACTGCTGTGAACAATGCTAATACGTTTCTATAAAATCAATGAGCAGAAACCTTATGTGAACGAAGTTTGATATGACGAAATAAGAGAGCTCTGCTCATGTACACTACAAAATTCGCCAAGCATTATCTGTCACTGCTTGAACACAGAACGAAGCATTCCTTTTGTGGAAATTAATTTTACTTTGCCATGGTAGGCGAACCTACCCACATGAAGTTTTTGTAGATATGCACATGTACATCAATCCTCTCCTCCATGAGCAAGCCTAATCTATCCTAACTTCACACTGGGCTTTGAAGAGAACACAGCTTTTTCGAAACTAACGCTGACTTTGAAAAAAACACAGCTTTTTTGAAACTAACGCCTGATGTGCCACTCACGATCGAACATTCGTTGAGTTCAGTATGAGTGAGGCACACCCCGAGATCAATCCGATATTCACAGGAAATAACAGCAGAGGACCAGTTGACTGTCGGTGAAAAAAAAAGAAATCAATCCGTCGAAAACATTGATTTTGAGGGTTCCTCCCCTTTGTGATACGACTAAGAAAAGCTCAGGGGCGGCGAGAATGAATGGGAGATTAGAGCTGTGAGAACAGCACACTTACCAGGTTGGCCTTCATCGAAGGCGCTGCCGCGCTCACCGAATCTTATGATCCACACCTGACACCTGACATAATGATGGGATTTGCTTCTAAGTTCACTCTTCGCTCTCTTGAAAAAACTTTTGCCATAAAAACTCAAACATAGCCAAAGAAGCAAAGATGAGTTTAGCCACAATGCCAAAACTGCTCTCAGCATTACAACACA